AAATTTCATTATAGCACCCTAATTGTCTTAATGGTTCAGCTCGGTAACAAATTCGACGGAAAAAGCAACCTGATTAGGGAGTTTTCGGTTAGCGTTTGTATTTGAATTTGATGTTAACAACACATATAGTAAAATTGCTCAAGGAAAACTTTTATTAGAGCACTAAAGATGGTTTCTTATGCGGATTTTTGGTTATGGGCGAGTTTTAGCGGGGTGTAATGTTAGTGTTACGTTATACCTGATCTTCAACCGTGATTGGCTTTTGGTTACGTTCTGAAATTTTTGGTGTTCTTGGGATAGTTAATCTGTTGTATATCATCACGTGAAAGTGACATTTTGACTGATTTATGTAGAGAATTGCAACCGACACAGCAAAACACATGCTTATCAATATAGCAAGTGACCAGGCCGGTACTATATTTAAGGTTAGTGTTAGAATGTAGCAGAATTAGGAATTATGTCATGTGTTTGCTGTGCCTGTAGCAATTCCCTATAATAATATAATTAGTGCACCAAGGTCGATTTAAACACTAGTTTTTGAGTATTTTCGCTTTTTCGTCACTCATACGTGTTCGGAATTCATGTCGAGCTGATCCGGAACGATCAAAATTTGAACTCACTGACTGGCTATTTCCTTTTTAAGAGTTTGTATTACCGGCACAATTAATACGTAGCATATTCACCATATAGCGAAGAACTCTATTAATGAATATATTTGGAACTAAGCGAGAATATCTTTTGTATTTTTGAAAAATTAAAATTAATTTTACATTAAAAAGATTATCATGAATGTCTTTTTGAATTTTATTGAAAATATATAACAAGGTAAACCATTATTTTTGAACAAATTCCTTCACATTGACAAAGAGTATAGAAAATATTTCTATAGAGTAAAACAAAATAATAATTTTTTACCATTGTAATTTCGTACAAGATGATAAAAGTATTTACCATTCTTACTATCTTTGCTATACTGAACTTAGTATTAGCAGCACCCCCTACAACTACGGACTTTTCACTTCAATCAACTTTGAGTTGTATAGCGGCCTTTATTGAGTTCGTTTCTGACCCTCTCGTTATTAAGTGTTTACTACCTGGAGATTTTCATAATCTGGATCCACTTTTAGATCCTCATTCAACTGCATTACAAAAACAAAATGCTATTACAGCTTTTGTTTCTAAAGTATGTCCTTTAAATTGTACCGATACAGAGATTAAACAAATATCTGAACGTGGATCAAAAATAATTTCTAAAGGCTGTTCTAAAGAGCTTGAGGATAAAAATCCGTTTGTATTAGCTGCATTTGCTGGTATCGAATTGTACCCTCCACTCATAAAATCTTTATGTTTAAAAGAAAATGGAACATTCTGCTTTATCAAGGATGCAATTACAATCGCAAATTTACCACCAACGAACTTTACAAAGCCATTTATAAATCCGTTTGCAGATAAAGTTGTCTTTTGTGATTATAGAAGCTTTTGTGTTCCATGCTTTCAAGACATAATCAACACTATGTTTGATGTCATTTTCGATCCAAAAAATAAAGATGCCTTAGCTTCTCTAATAACACTCCTTGGAATTTTAAATGTACCAATTACTGAAACTGAATTAGAACAAAGCAAACTTTTTGTTATGATTAAGTGTGGTTTTAAATTTTTAGATAACCCAAGTTTAAATGGTAATAATTAAAATCTTTATTAAATCTATTCTGATCCTTTAAATATTATATACAGTATTTTTTATATACAGTATTTTTTTTTTTTTTTTACCATTATTCACATTTAATTTAATGAATTTTCTTGTTATATTGGTTTTCTTCTCTTTTTATCATAGTCAATGAAAATTTCTTTCCCGAGTTTTTAAAAGGCCGGTACTATCATTAGTTATGTAATATTAAGATAAGAAGCTCAAAATTTTTTAATTATTGAATTTTAAACTAATAAAACCATTCGAAGCACGAATTAAATTTAATAACACATTATTTTAATTATAAGTTAACCAACGTTGGTTTTGTAGAAAGATTATAATGCGTGCCAATTTGATCTAGCGTTTATCACTATAGTATACTATTAAACATTAACGTTCCATCTAATTAAAAATAAAAGTAATGATTCTTTGAAATAATTTTAAAAACATTTCTCATAGGTATTTCAATAATGATTAATGTTAACGTTAATTGATTAAATATAGTATTATTAAATATTGTATGCTGAAGTTCTCTGATATTTTGCTTTGTGCCTATTTACACGTATACTAGAGATCTGATTTTATATACTTTGACATTTGCAACGATTTTGTTAAAATTTAAAAGCAATCCTCAAATGCAACTTAAATAGTCAAAGAAATACTATTGTTTTACTTATGTAAATTACACCCTGTATAAAGTATCGTTCATACCCGGACAAAAATTTTTTTTACTATTTTCAGATTTTAAATCAGCCTATCTGGACCTTAGCGGATCTATAGCGTTACAGATAGAAAGGTTCATGTGACTATTCTTTTTGATGACATACTGAAAATTTAAAATCATAGTAGAGGTTCTAGATTTCTGTTAATAACACTGCATCACGGTTGATATTTACACCGCCAAGTAAAAAAGCTTAATAAATTATTATATACTTCTTATTGATCTATATCTTATTTGGGTACATCTCTAACATACCATGAAATAAATTCTAATTTACGCATATCAGTATGGCATAGGTGAGTAAATCTGTATAGTACAAGGGGATTACAGAACATCAGTATGATGTAAATCCCTTTACGCTTCTGTATAAATGTGTTTAACATTTTCCATTTAACATGACAATTAATGGTGACCATCAATTACCAAATCCGAAATTAAGAAATTACGATAATCCAGCATAGCGGGCTTTATCATGATTGGCTAATTTTTGAAGATCATCTCATCATAATAAAGTCTTACAAGAGTGCACAAAAATGATTTCGGGACCACAAGTACGAATTCGGGAAGGTTACGATATAAAATTTTAGAAACTACACCTCAATTCTATAATATACCAAAGTAATTGGGTAATTGACGAGG